AGTGGAAAAAACCCCCCCCCCCCCTGGACAAATGCCACCTCCAGCCTTGGAAGTGGCCCTTCCATACCTGAGAGGCGAGCATTAACCTTGTTGTGGCTAGTCCAGAGCCAGAGAACTGCACTGGTGGGACTTCTCACCCGGTGCATGGTGGAAGCAGCCATATTCTCAAAATGTTCAGCACAGTCTCGACAACCAAAGAACCACTGAACATAGCTCCGCATGGCTTGGAGGACTTCCTGGCCATCAGCTGTAGGGAAGAGACCCCACACAAAGGCCCTTCATGTTGCCAGCCTCTGCTGTCTCCATCACGGTTCCCTACAGGCTGCCCTGTCCTCCTCCATTCTGCTGGGGTCACCCTGCACAAGTGCCTCACATTCCAGCCTATGTTAACAGAGGCCTAATGCTCAACCCTTGCCTACTTCTCCCCTGCAGGGGTCACTACAGAGGTGGTCCCATTTCCTCCAAAGCTCCTAAACTTCAGTTCCTCCTCTCAGGCCCTCATCACTTTCTTCAGAGGGACAGTCGAGCTTTATGTGACATGACTGGAGAGTTGGAAGGGACAGAGCACTCATTCTAGCCCCCATGATCCTCCTCCACCCACACCGGCTTCAGGTTTCCCATTCAATTTGCTCTCCAGTGGGCCTTGCCTGTCTGGGGCACTCTTAGAGGTCCATCCTGAGATGGTCTGAACAGCTTCTAATTTCTCTTCACGGCCCCTGAGTAATCTCACTCTGATCCTCCCATATAGGCTGCCACAGCAAGGGTGTTTCTTGACTCTCACACTTATCCTCTAATTGAAACCAGACTTTTTTGAAGGAATACCCACCCTTGCACTTTCTGGACCTCTTTTTCTCTTCCATACTTCATATACCTCAGGGTTTGCTTCCTGTTGCTGCTAAATGTCTCCTTTTCTGCCACATCCAACCCTTTAGAAGGCAACCTCCATTCACCAGGATCTCACAGAGAGCACTCACACACTCACATACACACATACGCTCTGCTCCAAAACACCCGTGCCTGTATCACTGTGCACTTTACCTCCTTGGCCTCCCAAGCTCCATTTCTTCTGTACCCACTCTAGGTATAACTGACTCCTCCCCCTACAGCTGGCCTTGCCACTCTGCCTCCCCCTTCTTAACAGCTCCATAATTATATTCCTGCAAACGCACCCACCTGCCCACCTGTCTGCCTCATCAGTTGTCCCCAATACAGGATCATTCCAACTGGCTCCCCATGGAGGACGGAATAAATAGGACGGTCTGAGGCACAGTGAGGTAAGCGGGCCCTAGACTCACCTGGCTCTTGTGGGTGGTTTTCACTGTACCGACTTGCCTGCACAGTCAGGAAGTGGAAGAGGATCCACAGGGAGCAGGGAAAGCCCCGGAAATGTGGCTTACTGCCCTGGCAGCCAACCCAGTTCACCTTCTCAGTAAGAACAATGCCCTAAGGAATACACGTGAACGTGAGGGCACAAAGGGAAGAGAAAGGGCCGGAAGGGAGGTGACAAGAGAAGCTTCCAGGAGCAGACCACACTGTAGCAAAGAAGCGCCTCTTCCTGGCCTATCACCTCTCTGCCATCTCTACCCACCAAAAGATGAGCAGATCTGAGAAGCCATGGTGTAGACCGAGTTCTGTCTTTGAAACAGCAGTACTGATCTGATCACTGAGGTCCTGCAAGCCTCGACACCTTATAAATCCACACGGTTGTGCATGTCTATGGGGTGTGGCTTGATTCTGCAGACAGCAGAAAGAATTGGTACTCTGCTTTGGAAGCTGCTTGGAAGCAGTAAGAGTTATGGTTAAGAACTCTGGTGTCTTAAATAAATGTGATGGCTCATCTTCATATTTAGGAAGCAGATGCAGGATGATTGCTGTGAGTTTCAAGGCCAGTGGACTTTGATACAGAGTAAGACCCTATCTTTAAAATAGGAAGGACTCCACTGCCTCATGCCTTGTTTTTAGTCCCAATCGATCACAGCTCCCATGGGGGTCTTAGACTAGAAAAGTTATGTAACAGCTCAAACTTGGTTTCTTCATCTGCTAAACGGAAATTCTAAGGTATGAAGAGTCAATGAGATATTCTGTAGACCCCAATGAAGAGCAGCTCACTAGTGATAAATGGAATGACTTCGTGCAAACTGCTGGATAACGCTGTCAGCAATCTCAGCCTAAGTCCCTCCAGTCCCATGAATGCCAGGCCACTGGGAGGATCTTTACTTGCCTTCCAGACTCACCTCCTTCCTGTTGTCCAGAGCAGCTCTGAAGAATTTGTAGGGGATCTTCTTTCTCTGCTGCCTCTGGAGCCAGTCATGTATGGAGTGCAGGAAGTTTTGGGCCAAAGGCCGACCAGGGAAGTACTGCAGGTGGGAACAAGTGGCAACGGGATAGTAAAGAACAATTCTACGATGGATTCCTACAGCCTATTCTGAGCAGAGGGGAGGCAACTCCTCTGGGGTCTCCTAGGCCCTGTGGGTCTCCGCCAAGGCTCAAGCTCTAATGCTGACCTAACATGTAACCACTCTGAGGAAGGTCCAAGCACCACACTGCTGTGAGCACTGGACACACACTTTCTTTCCAAGTGATCCTTTGATGGAGCAATGGATTGTCAAGCTGGGCTCACGTGCAGTAGGCAAGGGGTTAAACGTGGGGTAATAGAGGAGAGCTATAGCTGCTGTTTCCTGCTGCTCAGAACCCCCCTTTTACAGCCCAACACTCTTGGAGCAGCAGTTGGACCCCTCAGAAATTGGGATCCCAGGGTACTTTCCCCATGCCCACCCATGCCCAACAATAAGCATCCCGATAAGCATGGAAGGGAAAGCTGTAGGGACGGCTTGGGCTATTCTCAGCAGTGAAATGAAAGGATAGACCCACGGGAAGGGACTTTACAATGGCATCACATTGTAAAGGGATAAAAGACCATGAAAAGTCTTCCAAATCCCTAACACAGGACCCAGTGGGCTTCTACCCGCCTCCCTGTGAAACACCCACTCCAAGTTGCCTGGAGTGTACTCTGGTCTTTGCTTTTGGTAAGTAAACTGTTTTGCTGTCAGTGTTTCTTGGCTCAGTTCTTTCTTTTGAAAAGACAAGAACCAAACTGAGGAGAAACCTGGCAAAAGACCTTTTGTTTTTAGCCCATGGGCCGCCAATGCAGATAGGCCAGTTCAGGGCTTAGGGCCAAGATCCAAATCTTGATGGTAACTCCCAAGAGCCTGAGAGGAACATGAAAAGCTACTCTGACAATAAGTCAACTCAAATCTGATTAGTATCAGCACTTTAAAACCACAAGGACTCAAGGGAGGAGGGAATATGTGCATGTGTGCGTGTCCCAGTGCACAGGGGGGTGGGGGATAAGATGGGGTGCAACAGGGGAGCAGGGCAGATAAAACCACAAAGAGGAAAGAGGTGAGACAAGGATCCTGAGAGATGTGACGAAAACCATTTGAGAGAAAAATCTGCTACCAGAGCCAGTCCTCTGAAAAGACATTAAATGTCCTTATCAGGCTGGGCATCCCCCAGAGTGAAAGACTTGAGCTTCAGAATGCTTCCTCCTGGTTAGCTGGGAGCTCTGGGCCCACACACTGATTTACAGCTCCAAGTCAGCATTTCTCACTGACCTCCGCCTGCCATCCTGACTTGGCACCTTCCTTCCGTTGTCTGAGGCCATGCATCCGAAGGATGAATTAAAGAGCTCCGGACAGCAGAGAGCAGGGAAACCTTGGTGACCACACGCCACCCAGTGGCCAGACCTGACTAGCTGCCCACATGTGACAAGACAGGCTGACAGAGGAGCCCTCTTCACTCCAGGGTGTCCCTTGAGCACTCAGTTGTGAAACACAAGGGAGGCTACATGAGATATGAGTGTGACTTTTCCCTTGGACAAGGTGCTTCACACCCCTGGGCTGTCATTTCCTCATCAATACAATGATGAGTACGACTCAGAGTTGAAGAAGGGAAAATAAGCACCACCAGCCTGCCAGAGCTCAGGGAAAGGGAGCAGCTTTGACTATCGTTCCTCCCCCAGGAAAGTAGGGCAGAGTATGTAGGCAAAGGTCAAACAGGGCCTCACAGATGGTGAGGCCACCCTGCTCCCACTGTGGGACATCCTTATAGTCCTCTACTTCAATGCCATCCTGTCTTCCCTGAGAGACCTGGCTTTGGGCTCAAAGACCCCTTCCTCCCATACTCCTCTCCTGCTCCACTAGGAGTATGCTGTTCAGGCCTCTAACCTCTAACCTGGGTGTTTTCTGTGTCTCTTCTCAAATCAGCTTTATGCAGTGCAAACTAAATACCAGATCCCTCGCTTGCAGCTGCGAACAGACACAGGCAGCACAAGAGAAACCACTGCTTGGGAAGGCTCCTTTAGAGTAGACTGACCTGGGCTGGGCTGGGGCATCCCTCTCATTGAGGTCTGGAGGGGTGGGGGAGCACAAAGGAGCTTTCCCTCACTGCAGTGGTACTGTAGAAAAACAGTACCGATGCTATGGATTTGTTCGTTCTGTTCAACAGGGTGTCTGCCCCAGGCCTCAGGACTGTGGCTTGCCGGCTGCAGGCCTCAGAAACAAGGTCTGTATCATGGGAATGGTTCGGCCTTGCCTGCAACATTCCTCACAGGGTCTTCTGTGCACAGACACACAGGCTACAAAGCCAAGAGGGTCAGGATGGCAGCAGAATGAGTGAGACAGGGAGAGATTAGGAGGTTCCCACAGACCTTCTGGGAAGGGCAGGCTTGGATCAGCTGGGACTGAGGGAGGCTGAGTCAGCAAACTGGGGAGGGGGGGG